TACAAATCTTTACAGATAGCCTACTATTTTCATTAAACAATTACACGCTGACTGACACATACAGAATAAAATGTAAAGCCGCAATTACACAATGATTTAAAATAAAGCGTTCTGCTTACGTGTCCGTGCTGGTCCAGTTCGTTGTTTGTAAGCTTCACTTTTTCGAAAGAAACCATTTGTTTCGACAGCTGTTCTCCTGTAAACGGCGAATCTGGGTGCACGTACAACCTGTAAAATAATAAGAGAATAAATTAAATATAGGCTATATAAATATCATATAAATAAATAAGTATCCAAACGGATCTACAGCATATAGATCCGTTTGGATATACGTGCATTAGGCTATTCGATTAGCCTACATTTCACAACATTTATATTTGGATTTGAATCTAAAAATTACTATATGCTTAATAAATGTTGTTGTTTTTTTTTTAAGTAAAAACAGAAAATAATAGAACGTGCGAAATTCAAATATATTAGAATTACACGTAGCCTACACATTCAAAGCGAATTAGCGCATCAACTTGTATGTAGGCCCATCTAAAAAAAAATAGGCTATGTTTTGTAATGATGTATTCCCTTGTTAGTTACACCGGCTGTTCACAATTAGTTGATGATTTAGCAACTTACGTAGGCTAATCATAGCAAAACAACGCATAGAGGAAATATCAAGGTTCTTACCTAGCAGGTAAAGGTGGATCTGCCTTTCCCGCCACAAGCCACGAGGATCTATGATAGGCATATCGATATCTCTTATTGTCCACCGGAACGATGTCCATTAGTACGATATATTTGGCGTCCGGATCCACTCCGGAAAATGACACACGAATTGTCGGAAACATTCGTCTGTTGAAACAACATCATGTGCGTAAGTGGCATTTACATGAGTAGGCTAGGCTACACATGATTTCTAAGATGTTGGTTCAAATATGTAAAAACAAATGAGCCGAAGTAGCCTATTTTAGATGTGGTAACATATTGGCTAGCCTACTGACAACAGGCATGTCCTTTAAAAATGTTAAATTCGTCTACTAAAGATAGCCTACTAAACAAATTCGTCTAACGTTACTGGTTTGAAAATACGAAAAGTAAAATAATTTCAGCTTTTTTACCTTCCAGATTTTGTGATAATCATTTCCGTGCCGAGTTCGTGGAACTTGTCCCACAGTTCTTTCGTCTCGAGGCTGCAGGAGATCTTGGCCATCTCCTCGCTGGGCACGCCGGGGGTCGTAGGAATGAGAGGCTCCGTACATAACGGAGCGCCGCCGCTGCTGCTGCTGCTGAAGTCGCCGTGGGTTTCCAGCAAAGGCAGGTCGCCGATGTTTGGATGGCACGACGACTTCTCTACGAATTGTTCTAGAATGAAAAAAAAAACAAAAAAAGTAATTAAATATATATGTGCACCAATTTATTGCAGTTGGTGTTACAAAAGATGTTAAAGTCAGGGACTATAACATGCAGATATTGGTTTGGTTCTAATAAAAAAAAATCACATAAGAACAACATTATACCGTTTACATGATTTGCTTTAACATTGTACGTTATAGTTAGAATATGCAAGCCTAGCCTATATGAAATGTAGAAATAATATCACTGCATATAGCTAGAAACACAATTGATAAAATGCAATTCTTTATGGGTACTAAACAACAAAACAAATAATTAATAATGGCCTAAAATAAATAGTTTTATGTGTTTAAATATTTATGAATAAATAAGTATTTAGATTTTTTTTTTTACACTGTAATTAATTTAGCCTGAAATGTAATAGGCCTATTACAAACTGCATAGAGCCACCAAAATATTCCAATGCAGTGGCCATTAAACCCACAACTATTAATGTTCTTAAATCTTACAGTTACTGATAGGCAAATTAGACTTCACTTTTATTTTTATACTGTAAATATAAATAAACCGTTAGCCGTAAGCGATGAATTGTCGTTTGTTTACCTATAAAACAAAATTAAATCCGTTCATTTTGATTTGCCAGGAAAGTGTACAAAATCTTCAGAAAACAACACAATTTGGCCAAATACAAAATCTGACTTTTTAATTTCATGTTTTCCTTTATATACATTTTTAAAAAGCTTAAGAGAATCACTCCTTATATTGACATTTCCTTAAAACATTTACATTTTACGACCGCAGAATCTCACGCAATTGTAGCCTATAACTCACTGAAAAAAAAGGTGTAATTATTTAAATACTCGGCTATATTTTCCTTTATATAAAACTGCTGGAGTTTGACACTGATGGCACCGTATACGCCTCACGTGCAGACTCATGTCACTGTCGCAAAACACGAAAACACTGTTGCTATGACTCTTCAAAACTCGTTGAAGAGTCAGATCTGCTCTTACCCAGCGGCCTGATGGTATTTTCCTCCGACTCCTTGTCTTTCGATTTCCCACTTGACATGAGTGCGGCTATGGAGAACGCATTCGCCCTAGAAGAGAGCTGAGGCTTTGGGGAAGAGGTGTACTCCATGATGCGAGTGCTCAAAACTATTCTCAACAGCACAAATGTCCAGATTAAGCCACGAAACGACTTTAAATCGCAAGATGATATGAGTCAGGACCAAGAAGACTGTTGCGTGTTACTTCCAAATCGGTTGGGACATTGTGTGTCTCGCTCCAGTCACCCTCTAGCTCTCTTGCACAAGCAAGGTTTTCATAGCAAGTGTTGGACACTTGCAGTCCCTTAATTTCACTAGCCCCTCCGTCGTGCACAGCCATGACCAATCGTTGTGATGCTTCTAGCTCATTGGTTCTTCAACATCCTCCACTGTACGGTCAGTTTATTTATAAATCCTACTACGGTGACGGCTTGGCTCATGAATATTAATTTATTCGTGACGTTGACCTTCTAGCGTTGCCGAAAGAACGAATAGATTTTTTGTAGAGGGCGTGGCTTATCAATATTTAACTTTTGTGTCTGGCCACTCCAAGCAACGTCAGAACGACCTTATTAATATTCATGAGTTCACCCATGATTTCGCCTACTGGGCGCTGCGCAGACTTGAGAGAGCCGTCAAAATGCTAAATAAATGTCACATCTGTCTACACTAAAAGGCTGGATATGTATAACCTTCCATCATGCATGAAAACTTAAATGTCCACATCTTGTAAGGAAATGTTATAGTACAGACTTCCTTAACATGACTAATGTTTTATCAAATACAATTAAACTATTTGTTTTATTTGTCTTCTAAGTTCCCACATTTGAGTATAGCTATGACATAATTTGTATTCATTATTCAGAACATTATCTCCGACAAAAACACAGGTCCATCCAGACGTTTTTAAAACTTTAATATAATTAGCCTATTTTAAGTTAAAGTAAAACTGTATTCTAAGAATTTTAAACTCGCCAGTTATACTGCTATACATATAAATGTTGGAAAGACAAAAACAACATTTATCAGTTTCTTGATTTTGTCGCTTGTTTGTAACGACACAGTCCTGTGAGGAACTTGTCTTTACAAACAAGCGAAAAAAATCAGGAAATTGATATAGGCCTATTTACTAATTTGACTCATTATTAGGCTAATCAGAAATTAGAACAGAAAAATCAAAACAAAAGTAAAGAAAAAAATACTAAACAACATAAATGGGCCAAATGCAATTCTAAATATAGGCATAGTTTTATTCTATAATTAAATAATAATAATAATAATAATAATCATCATTAACATTATTATTATTGTTATTAGCCTATTATCGATGTTTTTATATTCGTAGATTCAGTAACATTCCTTATCTGATTACTATTAGTAACAGTTATGTTTCTGTTTTCTTCTTCTTCTGCGTTATCCTTTTGAACTTTTGATAAGAACAAATCCTGTCTAGACGCCGCCTCAGGCCACCCGCTCTCGCTTGATGCCAACATTGAGACACAGGCCCTTTGTCAAGTCAAACACTTAGTAAGCTTATGCCGATCAAGCTTGGTGAAATCATTACTGCAGATTTCAACTAACATGTTTCACACAAAAAGCACTGGTTTGTCGCGTTATGCCTAGCCTGGGTTCAACTGCTCACGTGCCGTGATGAAACTTAACAGTAGCCTACCACTCTTAAATGCTTATTTTATTGGCATATATTTTATATATATTAATACACACAATAAAGGTACGTTTTTGATTATTCCCTGTTGAATAACTATTAATCTGTGCTTTTGTAGTCCATACACTGCGCGTGCGCGTGCTCGCGCCAAGTGAGAGTCAGTGTATATATATATATATATAATTAAAAGCGCTGACTCTTGTGTTTTTTCCCCTTGAGGAATCACCTCATCCTCAATGTCACTCTCTCTGGAGAGACGCAAGAGCCCCAGATCTACAGCGTTTAAACCCATTAAGGCGACACTCAAATGCAAATCCAATGCTGCAGATATATTATAAGGACCTTGGCTGGGGGGAAAAAATTAGATTATGTGCAATTGCCAGCGGATAATGTGCTAAAAGCTTTCCCACTTAGCGTAACTCCTTACTGAATATTATTCACACTTTCAGGGCCGATGTGCCAGCCGGCCCATGGCGACTTTTAAAGATACAGCCGAAACTTGCTCGTCAGGTGCAGTGTTGCCATGTCCGCTTTTTATAAGCGACTTTGGTCTTACACAGTCACGGTTTTGCTAGCTTGGCAAAAATGTGACCAATCACTAATCAGTTGCCAAATCTGACCTGCTGTTTAAACGCAATAATGCCATTATTAATGGTTGTAGTTTCCTCTTTATTCTGTTAATTTATTGATTTATGATTTATATACAGTAGGCTAGTCAGTGTGCAACATTTAAATGTTTTTTTTTTTTAGTTTAGAAGATATGATTATTGGAATAAAACATTGTTATGAAATTAACAATTTAGCATTGTTTGTTTTATGCAACTTTAGGCTTTTTATGATGATGATGATCCAACTCGCTTTTTTTTTTTTTAAACCAGTTTGGTTGTTTTATTGCGACATCTGGCAACACTGGTCAAGCGTATGTTTCATACTGGCAAAAATAGTAGGAATCTAAGAAACGGGAACTGTGTTTGAAACACAGACCTGACGGACACATTTCGGGGATGGCTGTATTATGTCCCAAAACAAGTGTGACATTCAACAGACGACTGTTTTAATCATTTCTGTACATCGGACGGGAGATAATATAACGTTGGTGAGCCAAATTAAGACTTTGGAATATAACTCATGTGCTGTCCGTAATTATTTATAGGTAAACAATGTTGTTATTAATTTGTTGATCATTATAATGAATCAATCCATCTAAAGAAGCATCAATTCCATCCCATTTATGCTGTGTAGGCCAACTCATATTGTCTACACGTTTGTGAGGTTTTGAGGATCAGTATAACAGTTATATGTTCCCAACATTATAAATCATTACAAAGTCTTAAATATTTGATTTTAATATTTTTATTTAGTAAGGCCTATATCAGTGCTCTTCAATGTAAATACTGTTTTTTTTGAGTGAAAATAGAGAAAATAATTGTTTATTGCTTCTCCACCTCAATATTAACAGGTCATGATCATCAGACGAAATGCATATCGCTTATTGTCAAAATACTGAAATATAATTTTTAATAATTCAATATTATTTAGTCAAGAATGCATATACTAATATATATTTGTGCTGTCAGATTATTTTAGATTTCATACTCATTTTATTGGTGTTTAAAATATATAGTATTGCTTTATGCCCATAAATAAATAACAAAAAAATCAATGTCAAATTTTGTTAATATTTATGCAGATGCCCATTATCTTTCTTTTTTATTATCATGAAGTTTGAATTATGTTGTCAGTTTTTAAATTCCTGTTGGGCATATAATAAGTGGATTAATTATATTCAGGGTTAATCCAGAGGCGTGAAATGCAACAATCATCCTCCATTCAGAGGCCTCAACAGGAAAAGTAAAACATTCGGTCAGCTGTACTAAGTTGCCATGGTTAGTAATGACCTTAAAATTCTAGGGCAGCAAAGTAAGTCCTGTTGCATCAGGCTGGTTCAAAGTATAGCTTTTCTAGTTTTCACCCGTGAGAAGTGCCCCCATATTCCCCCTTGGCTTTCAGGCAAAGGCAAGCGGGCTGACAGGCATGCAGTGGTCGAGCCAGTGCCTCCGTTCATATGACTAATTAGACAAGCTTCACGCTGCGCTGTTCTTTTTGATGCTGAGCCCTGGTGCTAATTGCCACATCTGTCTTGGGGCACATGGAGGTTAAGTTCAAATGCAGAGCCGGCTCGCTGCACTCCTCCACCCCGCCGTCTAAACGGCCCCTTCTCAACCTTTTTTTGCCCTGACCTGGGCCATGACCGGAGCCTGTTGGGGACAGGCTTGGGATCATGCGGTGTGTGCAGGCAATACGGACTGTAAGGGAGAAGTGTTCAGACGAGAAGGAGGATGGGTAATGCGGAGAGGGTATTAGACGTATCTCAGATTAGGCTCATTAAGGACTGAAAAGCGAATGAGGTGTCTTTGCTCAAGCAGGGCTAAATCAACCCAGGAAGTCTGAGTCTGGCCTCTTACCTTCTCATCACCTCAAACCCTTCTGTTCTTCTAGCTTGTGGCAGTAATTTTTACAGGGCCCATCAGAGGGGGAAAGTGGCCCCAAGTAAGAGTGAAAGTGGCTTAAAGTCATTAGTCTAGTGTGAGTGAGTGAGAACTTGTCAGAGTGATGCTCATAGTTTGGTTAACACTGCGATGTCACAAGGGTGCCGATAGTACTGATGGATGTGGTTTCAAATAACACTAATTCGTTCACATCGCCCATACCTTCTGCTGTGGTTATTGTTGGTACTTTGAGTTCAATTATTTATTAGGGCATAAAATCGAATGTTTTTTTGAAAAAAAAAAAAAAAAAAACGTTTTGAAAAGATTGGATTTTATTGTTTGTTTTTTCTTTTTTTCTTTTCTAAAAACTGCTTTCTCTCAGTTTTGAACAGTTGTGTGATTGTTGCGTTCATCCATTATAGAGATCATATTTGAATTCCCATAAAACAGTGGTTCTCAAACTATGGATGGTGTTTGGCAAGGTAATTGCCTGATTTCTAAACTTAAAATGTTCAAATTAAATAAAATATTACAATATATTCAAGTAGTACAAGTACACATTTAATTATTCAAAATGTACAGTAGAGAAATGTATCCTTTTTATTTCTATTTCAACTAAGTGCTGTTGTTTTGAACTTTCTATTCTTCAAATAATTCTAGAAAATGAAAAGGTTTCCACAAAAATATTAAGCAGCAAAACTGTTTTTAACAGTAAGAAATGTTTCTTGAGCATGAAATCATCGTTAAAATGATAGATAAAGTAGCAGATAGAGTGCAAACCAGTGAAAGAAACAAACCGTGCAGATCTAATGTGTGTAGAGCAAAAAGAGCTTATCAGTCTGTTTAAACTGCTCAATACCTCATTACAGCATTGCACTGCAAAATACCTCTTCTGACCGTTTAAATAAGACTGCTTAGCTCTTTGTCACTTTAAACAGACTGATAAGCTCTTTTTACACTACACCCATTATAGATTTGTTTATTTCACTGGTTTACACTGCCATGTGCCTTGTGCTACTTTATCTATCCTTTTTTGCATGTCCTTATTTATGTAGTTGTATTTTATATTATATTTTAATCTGTATTTATTTGTATTTTTACATTCTACCATTAGTGTTATCTGTATGCACCAAAGGTCTGAGAGTAATGCAATTTCAATTCTCTGTATGTGCTGTACATGTGCCAGATTTGACAATAAAGCAGACTTTGACTTTTTGACTTTGATATTAGATTGATTTCTGAAGGATCATGTGACACGGAAGACCTGGTTAATGATGCTGAAAATTCAGCTTTGCATCACAGAAATAAATGACATTTTAAAATATATTAAAATAGAAAACAGTTATTTTAAATGTAGTAATATTTCGCAATATTACTGTTTTTACTGTATTTTTGACTAAAATAAATGCCGCCTTGTTGAACACTTTTGAATGATAGTGTATACAATTTTACTAATCCATAATTTTGCGGGACTTATTTCACTGAAATTAACTAGACAGCTTCTTATATTATTCTTCTTTTTAAAATATTCAGTAGTTTTTATTGTTTTTTTTGTGTCTGAAGCAATCCGCCAACTGAAATCTTTCAGAACCACTGCTATAACGTTAACTTAATGTAGTTAATATTATTATATTAATCTTTCCTGAGAGGCCCATCCTATATCTGCCCACGTCAGTGTCCTTCCAGAGAGTTTGTTTGATGCGGGACAGAGTGAGTGTGTGATTAAAAGCGTTGGCATGGGCAGCCCCATCTCTCCATGGTCACAGCGGTCAGTGGCATCCTTCAAAGGTCCCCATCAGAGATGTGATTGGATCTCTCTCGCTGTCTCTATCTTTCAGCTCTCTTTATCTCTTTTCCTCCCTCTCGCATTGGCAATAGCAAACTGCAGAAAAAGGAGACTGCGTCTGTCCTTCCTCTCCCCTCCGCTCATTTTCTCTGAGATGCTCTCCTGTCCGTACATGACTATCGGACATTCTCCTGGTCAAACAAGTGTAAAGTCTTTAAATGGGAATGTTTGACTTTGTCGCAGCCATGAATAATAGAGAAGCCTGGTGGTTAAAAACGGTTCTAATGTGGTTTAACACACTTGTGAAGGAAGAATATGAGCGGCCCATCCCACGGGGGAAAGGGTGTGACAGAGAATGGTGCGGAGAGAGGATGTCTGTGATGCTGAAAGCCTTTTTGCAGCATCACACCGATGTTGTTGGGGTTTTAGCGGTGAGCGTGCGGTGATAAAAGCCACCAAGAGTCGCAGGTCTCCAGTAATACATCACTGTGAACTGCACAGGGACCGAAGCCCACAAACATCTCTTTAATTGTGTTTCTACTCTGCCGCTCCTATCCCATCCTCCTTGTGCCTCTCCAGTGGTGATCACATTTCCAAACAGGACTGAAGTGGTAATCTTACGTGACTCTCTAAACTGTTCTTTCTTTACTTTGACCTCTGCTTCTGATCTTCTCCCTAACTTCCACAGATTTTCACTAGCACAAACCGAGGAACCTTTCACCAGTGCCTACTGGATAAGTGTAAAAACTAACATTCTGTTATCATTTACTCATTCAAACGGTTTGAATTTCTTTTTTTATCATTTCAATATGCAACAGGAATTTTTGATATTTCATCTTAATGATGCCGAACACCATTGGTTCTTGCATGTCACCAGTGTTAGTATTACTTAGTATTATTTATGTACTATTAGTTTTTATTAATATTTTGAATTGGCTTTTGTTTTATATTCATATAATTTTAATTTTGATATTTTTCTGTAATTTTGTTATATGCTGTCAGTTTTATTATTATTATTATTATTATTTAAATATCACTAAGGTTGCATTTATTTTTATTTCAGTTTTATTTTTAGTTCACTTTTAGTTTTTATTTATTTCCGATTAGTAATTTTAGTGATTCACCTTAATTTTATTTCAGTTAGTTGCCAAGACATTTAAGTTTTAAGTTTTTCATCTAATAATTTGATTTGATTTCAATTAACAAACATGTTTTTAATAGTTTTTTAGTTTTAGTTAACAATAATAACCCTGAATGTCATATAAACACGTTTAACACAGCAAGTTTTAATATGCAAATGTGATATGAAAGGTATAATGGCGGGGATGTTTTTTCAGAGAATACTAACTTAAATTAGATTTTCCTTAAACAAAGCTATTGTATAGCTTCAGAGGTGTTGAAATATAGAACATGGTTCCTATGGACTACTTATATTGTGCTTTCTTTGTTCTTTTGGAGCTTGACAGGCCATAGTCACTATATGTTATACAGCCAAGTTCAAAATGCGATTTGCATTCCACAGAAATCAGTCAGTTGTACGCTTTTGGAACAAAAAGAGAGAATAATCAATTGAATGGTGAAAAAATAAATAAATGGCTGTTGTCCTGATGTATTTACAGTGGGTACGGAAAGTATTCAGACCCCCGCAGAGGATCGCCAAATCCAGGTGTGAAAAACTTGTTGGATCTTTCCCAAAAAGACTCATGGCTGTATTAGATCAAATGGGTGCTTCTACTAAATACTGAGCATTTTTCAGTTTTTCTTTTTTAATAAATTTGCAAAAATGTCAACAATTCTGTGTTTTTCTGTCAATATGGGGTGCTGTGTGTACATTAATGAGGAAAAAAAATTAACTTAAATGATTTTAGCAAATGGCTGCAATATAACAAAGAGTGAAAAATTTAAGGGGGTCTGAATACTTTCCGTACCCACTGTAAATCACATTAGTTTATGGAAGAAACATGCTCAGTTCAGCATTATGGGGGACATTCATTAGAATACAGAACGGATTAGAAGCAGAATTCGTCTGAACAATCATTTTCTCAAAGGTGCCCTGTTCAACATATGCTACGATAACTCATTCTGAAGATGGAAAGTAAGGAGGAGTATTTGTGAGGTGCATGTAAACCGGGACCATGGTGCTATTATTCAACCCAGCTAGATCAGGCCAAGGTCTGAATGTGCAAAGAACTGCTGTTAGTATTTCTGACTTTAACCTTTGCTCTGTTTCAGCACTCCTGCTGCATCTCTCCTGGGCATTTCTGTTCCCCTCACAACCTAACGGCATTTTGCTGTGGTACGGGAACTGTCTCCAGGCTGCACCGCTTCAGAGCTCCCAGAATTCTCCCCATCAAATGTGGTCACTTTTGATATCAAGGTCTGTGACTTTTGTTTTTGATGGTCTCAAACATAGAAAGAAAAGAAAAAACATCATGGAGGTTTGGAATGACATGAGTGTGAGTAAATGATGACACAAATTTTATTTTGGGGTGAACTATCACTTTAAAAGAGTAATTTAGCCCCAAAAATTTAATTCTGTTATCATGTACACACCCAAGTCATTTCAAACCCATCTGACTTTATAAAACACACAGGAGATGGTTCATGCCACTTCTTCACAAAAGAAGTACATGTTTGCAACAGCGTGAGGGTGAGTTAATGATGACAGAAATTTTGTATGAATTAAAATGGATCATTATTAAAGGGGTCATATGATGCAATTTAAATTTTTCCTTTCTCTTTAGAGTGTTACAAGCTCTTGGTGCATAAAGAAGATCTGTAAAGTTGCAAAGACTAAAGTCTCAAATCCAAAGAGATATTCTTTATAAAAGTTAAGAGTCAACCTCGCCTACCTAAAACGGCTCGTTCTAACACACCCCCACATGTCTATGTCACGATGTGGGAAGATTTGCATAACACCGCCCAAATGTTCACGCAAAGAAAGAAGACGTAACTTTTATTCTCGCTGTAGTATTGTTGACGCTGCAGCCATGTCCTGAAGACGCTGGGTTTCGTTGTGAAAGTGAAACTACTTTGTTTGGTCTTCCAAAAGAGGACACGACTAGAAATCAGTGGTTAAGTTGTATTTACAACGCTGTTCCAGAACAGTTCAACCCAAATATTCAGATGTGTGCAGCGCACTTTATGGAGGACTGTTTCCTGATCCTGGTAGAGTAGACTACAATGCCGGCTGTTCTGAAAAAGTCAAAAAAGACAACAGATACTTACTGTGGTCTTGCAATCTGATCTGATTAAAAAAATATATCCCATGAAGAATTCTCACATTTTCACTTCAGAATTTTTTTTTAAAGGTGTTTCTAAAATTTTTGATTTTTTTTTTTTCTATCTGTCAAAATGACAGAAAACATTAGTTTTTTTTAAAACGTGACATTTTGTACAATTTCATTTAGTGTAACTTCCATTCCTTTGTAGTCTGTCAAAATGACACCAAGCATATTAAATTTATTTAAAAATGTACAAATTTTGAATAAGTTCTTTTTCTTTTGAATAAGATTTTGGTACAGTGTCAGTTAGTGTAAGCTTAGTTCCTTTGTAGTCAGTCAAAATGACAGAGAGAATTTCAAATTTGTTTTTAAAATTTGAAATTAATGCTTTTTTAAAATTTTGGTACAATTTCAGGTAGTCACCTCATTTCCTTTGTAATGACAAAGCATTTTGTTTTCAGAATTTGAAATTTCAAATATGTTTTTTGCATTTTGATACAGTGTCAGTTAGCGTAACCTCAGTTCCTTTGTAGTCTGTCAAGTGTATGAGTGAGACCAAGAGTGAAGGGTGTGAAACAGACAATGCCCTGGTCTTCATCACCCATGACTGACATCTGAGGTCAATCCTGTGTTACCATGATGAAATGTTCTCTTTAGTTTAAATATTTGCTCAATTAAAATGCTGCTGGAGGGATGTGGGGGAGTGCAGGGTTGAGGCCATTTCCCCCTGAAAATGCCCCTGCTGGGCACTCTCTCAGGAGAGGAAATCTTGCTGATTAGTCAATGATTGAGTTTTTGTGAGGAGGGACAGAACCAAGAAGTTAGAGGATAAGACAAGTGGTGGGAGAGAGGGTGCCAAGGGGGATGTGAAGACAGGGAAGGAGGGGAGGTGAGGCTGTGGTACAGGAGGGCTTCCTCGTGCCTCCGCTGGAGCAGAAAATCTCTCTAAAATTGGTTACTGCACTGATGGTCTTCATCTGTTGTGGCAGGGGGTCATCGCAAAATCTCCACCCCCGCCCCCCTGGGCAGCGTCCATTACCACCGCTGTTTGTCAGGCACACGGGACTGAGTGTGTCACTGCTTCCCTGGTGTCCCGAGTGTGACTCATTTAGCTGTCAAATGCTCCGGTTGCATTAGCACTCTATGAAGGGCATGAAGTAAACACACACAGGGACATCCACACCATTACAAACTGCTGGATGTCCCTTTTGCTTGTCCTGTTGCTCTCTGGCCAAATGTGAGTAGAATAGGTACGCTTAGTTGTGGTAAGGACTATGTGAGTTGTATTTTTACAACTTGTGTGCATATCTTATGTCTTCAAATAGCATGATGTCCAGAGAATAGGATTAGATTAGGACCTCACATGATAAGGATAGAACATAACAAAGAACCATTAGACACAGTGAATTGTAATGTATTGTTAAAGGATAGTTCATCTTAAAATTGTCATCCTTTACTCACCTTCATGTAATTTCAAACCAGTGCCATGTTAGTATTTATATACTAATACAGTATTTATTACTATATTGAATTTAATTTTATTTGTATGAATTCATGTTTTAATTTAAGTCATCTTGTTTAGTCATTTTTAATTGCATTTTTTTTATTTAGCTTGATTGTATTTTTATTTCAGTTTTAGTCATTTTGTTTAGCAATTTTTATAAATTTTTATTTTTTTAAAAACATTTCTAGTTGGCGTTATTATTTCAGTTTTAGTCATTTTAGTACTTCGACTTAAAGGGGTCATATGATGCGATTTAAATTTTTCCTTTCTCTTTGGAGTGTTACAAGCTGTTGGTGCATAAAGAAGATCTGTAAAGTTGCAAAGACTAAAGTTTCAAATCCAAAGAGATATTCTTTATAAAAGTTAAGAGTCAGCCACGCCTACCTAAAACGGCTCGTTCTAACACGCCCCCACATACCTACGTCACTATGTGGGAAGATTTGCATAACACCGCCCAAATGTTCACGCAAAGAAAGAAGGCATAACTTTTATTCTGAGCACACCTCGTTTTTCAGACCGATGAGTTTTGTAAAAATCGACGCGTTTCAGAAAGGCGGGGCATAGAGGAGAAACAATGATGTACAGTATGTGGAAAATGATGTGTTTTTTTTGTACCTTAAACCGCATGAACACATTTCATTACACCAAATACACAAAATAATGTTCTTTTTAGCAACATCATATGACCCCTTTAAACTTGTATATTTTAGTTAGTTGCCAAGACAACAACGTTTTTAACGTTTTTCATCTAATATTTATATTGTATTTTGTCAGCTTTATTTTAATGAAAATATTTGTTTGAGTTTTAGTTAACAATAACAAAACTTTTACAGTATATTTCTCACACACACACACACACATATATGTGTATATATATATATATAGAAACACAAAATATCTTTTGTGTTTCATAGAAGAAAGTAAGTGTACATATTTAGAATGACATGAGGGTGAGTAAATGATAATGTAATTTTCATTTTTGAGTAGGCAACAACCCCAGCAACCACATAGAAAGCCATTCAGAGCAACAACCCACCAAGGTTTTGTAGTGAAATCAGTATGTTATAATCATGTTTGTGATTTCATGTTTCATGTGATAATCATGTTTGTCTGAAGGTTGTATGATGTCCTGAGATGTCAAGATCTGGCGATCTGGTCACTGTGGTTATTCTAACCTTCACCTGCTTCCAGCAGACCTCCTTGGAGTTATCGTGTGAGGGTTCTCCTTATCTCTCCAGGTCTATTGATGAATGTACAGATGGATGTCTTTGGGACCTTAACCTTTGGGCTCTTTTATGTCACAGTGTTGGTCTCTGGACTGGAAGTGTTATCAGACTCTGGATTTGAACTTATTTCTCAGAACATTGAACGTTAGACCTAGTGTGCATGTGTTGGGGTCAGGCATGGGGAGGAAGGTTGGAAGCTTGCAGTCAACCTGGTCTGTCTAGGGGTTAATCCTGCTCTCCTTAACAACGTCAGCAAAACCCCAATTACCATCTCCTGCACCAGAGCAGAACAACTAACCACATGAAAATAGTTCAAACAGAAATTTGCACGTGTCCGCAGAACTCTGTCCGTCATACACAAGTTCTGAATAGCCCCCACCTCTTGTGTGTTTGATAGTAAATATTTTGCTTGTATTCTCAGCTTCATTTCACACATTTTACCCAGTTTAAATCCGATTTCAGATTTCCCTTCGAAATTAGCACAGAAAATATGAAAAGATGGTGAATTTTTTTTGTCATTTTTGTCAAAAGAAAAATATTACTTTAAAGGGGTCATATGATGCGATTTCAAGTTTTCCTGGAGGGGGCTTTGTAGAAAACGAAGCGTTTGAGAGAGGCGGGGCATAGAGGACCTACAATAATGTACAGTATTTGAAAAATGTGTTTTTTGAACATTAAAGCATGTCAACATATTCTGTTACACCAAATACACAAAATAATGATCTTTAAAAAAGCATCATATGACCCCTTTAAATGTAAATATAAAATTTGTATTAAATATTATACATTTTTAAATATTAATTTAAATGCCAATGCTGTGAATTCTTTATGCTTTAATTTTTCATTGTCAGCACATTCATGCCATTTTGTACAGATGTGAGTAATATTATATTAACATGACTGGTCAAAAGTTTGGGGCCAATAAGTTGATCCTGGTGATCATAAAGGCTTCTTTAAAAAAAAATTAAAACTCTTAAACTCAAACTTTCCAACAGCGTAAAACAATGGTATAAAATATACCTTTTTGGCTTACTATCTATATGATATATAGCATAGCATCATATTCTTTCTAGGTTTTTCCTTTTCAAGAAACATTGTTAGTATTGTTAATATCTTGCGTTATTAAAAAAAAAATCTTATTTTGTCAACAGCATATTGAATGAAAATTGTTTAATTAGCATTCCATGGGCCGTTTTTCCATCTCATCTTTGTTATCGTTGACAGAAATACCAAAACTGTTTGTTAATGACAGTAATAACATAATGAGTGTCCAAGTGATATCAGGCCACAGGACTGGTGCTGACAATTCCTGCAATCACTATATTTGTAGACCGTTAGCGTCTCATGATGCCGTCAGGCCGAGGCGATAAGAGATGAGCTGACCGGCTGCGTCTCTGTATGTGTGCGAGATACATGGGGTCAC